TGGGGCAATGAAATAAGATACCAGAGCACCATGGAAACAAAGGCCAGGGGAGAGGACAGGGAAGCAGGACCTCAGGTTCAGCCTCCTAATCGTTCAGTTCACAATGACTGCTTTCTGCAGGATTCTCTCTGGCCTTAAGTCGCTGCTGCGTGAGCTCTGGGAGCCACAGCTGTGGGTGTGCGCTGTTACCGTTGTTGCCATGATGGTTGTTTGTTAGATATCACTAAGACACCGTAGCCCATGGCACTTATACTCAACAGAAATTTGTTCTTTCTCTCTCTCTCTCTCTCTTTTTTTTTTTACCTGTATTGATTTTACAGAGAGAGGAAGTGAGAGGGAGAGAGAGAGAGAGATAAGCATTGATGAGAGAGAACATCAACTGACCGCCTCCTGCATGCCCCCACTGGGGATCAGGCCCACAACCTGGGCATGTGCCCTGACTGGGAATTGAACCGACAACCTCTTGGTGCATAGGTCGATGCTCAACCACTGAGCTACACCAGCTGGGCAGAAATTTGTTACTTAGCTGCAGTGTGCTTCAGTTCGCCTGCCTAACCTTGAAGGCTGTAATAGTTCTGTACTGCAGAAGGAAGATAGAGAGAAGTCTTGAAATGAGGGCCCCTCTTCATGGAGATGTGTCATGATTATCACAGTAGAAAGGAGACCTTTCCAGTTTTCTTTTTCAAGGGCTTAGACATTATTTTTCAAAGAAGTATATCTAATGAGAAAGGCAAGTGTACATAATAGGATGAAATAAAATAAATTATTTTTATCCCACCATGCTTAACTTATTCCTCGGAGGTGACCAATGTCAATAGCAGGTTTTTGTTCGCACACACATGGAACCGTACTTGGACAAGTCTGCAACTTTCTTGACTCACTGAGCTGGAGATCACGGCATTATGGCATAGCTCATGCCTTTTAGTGACTTTCATAGCCTTCCTTCTGTAAATGCAACTTAATTAATTGGTCAGTTCTTCTGGATAAACATGAAATTATTGCAAGGAGCATCCTTGACTTCTATCACTAAGGTCAATGTTTATTTTTTATTTTTTTTATTATTTTTTTTAATCCTCACCCGAGGATATTTTTCCTTTTTTTTTTTTTTGTACAGATAGAGTGGGAGGGAGAGAGAGACAGAAACATCGATGTGAAGGGACACATCGAGTGGCTGCCACCCGCACGACCAACCAGGGCCGGGGACAAACTGCAACCGAAGTACGTGCCCCTAGCGGGAACCGAACCCGGGTCTCTCTGGACCGCAGGCCGACGCTCTAACCGCTGAGCCAAACCGGCCAGGGCTCAATGTTTATTTTTTGACTGAGTGAGTTGATGATCGCTCAAGATCGAAATTATCTCTTTGCTACTTGGCCCTCAAGTTTCTCCCTATCAGTGTTGATCACTATCATGTTTATTCATTAGTAAACATGGGCTAAGGGCTTTTTCTGAGTGTGACATTCTGCTAGTGTTCATTAGATAAGATTAATGATAATAGCTACCACATTTAACAACTGTTCTATGTCAGATACCATATTAGAGGTTTTAGTATGTTACCCTTGATCATCCTCTCTGGGCAGACCAGAGACCAAGAAGTCCTTGGGAAAAAGATAAGTTTCGGGGCTGGGATTTAAATCCCTGTGGATCTAACCTCAAATCTTGCATGAAGGAGAGCCCCAAACCTTGCCCCAAGCTATGCTTTTGAGTCCTCACCAGTGTGTGTTATCACTCTTCCTTCTAATGTGTCTGGCCAGTAGGAACTGCTCAGTGCATAAAAGACTTTGAGTTCCCTTGAGGACACTGCAGTTCTTTTGAGGAGCTTGTAAAATCCGGTCTCAGAGACTATTTGTAGTCATCGTAGGAGTGAAACATCTCTGGAGCAGGTCCCTTATCTGCAGTTAGGGAAAGTCGTGGGACCACCTACTGACCTAGCAGGAGCTAGGGTTCTCGATGCTACATTGACAAGGTAGCAGTTTAGAAAATGGCAAAGCAAAGTATGAACTTAGTGCAGCATTCATTAGAGATGGCCTGTTGGAAGGAGATGAGAGTATTTCAAGGAAGATTTTTTTTTTTATCCTCACCTAAGGGCATTTTTCCATTTTTTGTTCAGATAGAGTGGGAGGGAGAGAAAGGAAGAGAGAGAGAAACATCGACGTGAAAGGGACACATCGAGTGGCTGCCACCCGCACGACCAACCAGGGCCGGGGACAAACTGCAACCGAGGTACGCACCCTTAGCAGGAACCGAACCCGGGTCTCTCTGGACCGCAGGCTGACGCTCTAACCACTGAGAAAAACCGGCCAGGGCTCATGAAAGATTTCTGAAGGGTGGGAAGAAGGTGGAGAACTGAGCCAGCATGACAAAAATATGTGTCCTTAGACTACTATGAGAGAAGATTGCAATGACAGAATCACAGCATGTTGGGACAACAGCAAAGACCTTTGGAATTTGTCAAGTTCATGGTAAGGAAGTGAGAACCACAACCTAATAACTGTCCCTGATCAAGCACTTAGTGTACACCATGCACCATTCTGAGTGCTTCACATGGTCTCTGTCTTCACCCTCGCAATTACCCTGCAAGGCAGGTACGGTTGTCCCCATTTTTCAGATGAGAAAACTGAGTCACAGAAAGATTAAGGAACTTTTACATCTGCTTCTCTATGGAAGTAAATGGCTCTAGAGGCTGGTGATTTTCAGCATATTTAAACCCCATGAGAGTAAATGGAGTCTGGTTGGTGTTCTACCAAGTTTGCCCCACAGCTATGATCCATCAACAAGTGCGCCTCCTGATAACGTGAAAAGTGGAAGCTTTGAAGATCCTCATCAAAGACGTGCTTTCTGTTAAAGACAATGCTGTGCCTGTGGGTTAGGGGTTAGTAGTGAGGGATCTGGGCTAACCTGCCTCTCATTCTGTGAGGCCTTGGGAAATGGAATCTTCCTTGGCCTAAATGTTCTCATCTGTGAAATGGGGGATAATCAAAGAACTAATCCTGGGGCGGTTGTGATTGTGAAAATGCACTGAGTAACCATGACAAAGCACTACAGGATCTGGGAAATACTGTCTGAATAATATATTGGCTCTTATTTCAACAAGCAAAATTCTCTTTAACTCACTATGTAAATAAGACTAGCCAAAGTCTCTGGATAGTTTTATCCTTCAGAGACCGAGTCAAGGGTCACACGCCCGGAGGGAGTAAAACGTTGGACTTTCACATTCCAGAATCGAGTGCAATGCTGACCACTGGATGGGCTTACTTTCTATGAGGACCATTTATACATTAAGGCCTTCTTACTGTTTGCACCCTGGGCATCTGTACCCACAGGCCTTCCGGCAGGCCAGAAACAATCATTCATTTAGAAAAGCCCCCAAATTATTCAGGGCTGCTTTCTCTTTTTGTTTTATGTGTCCAAATACAAAAGCTTGAATCCAAATTCCAAAGCTCAAATCAAAGTCTAACTTAAAGCGTTTCCCCTGCCTCCACCCTTCCCCATGTTTCTGAAATGCTTCCCTGCACTCCACACGCAGGGATGGGTGTCCGCATGTCTAGGACCAGAGCTGCTCCCTCTGGGTACTTCGGCTCCAGCCCAGGCAGTGACAGAGCCAACTATGCTTCCAGGAAGGAAGATTTGCAACCATCCAAGTCAGGCCTGGTCCCCGCAGTCTTTTGGCTTTTTTCCATTGGCTCTTTGTCCTGTGATCTCTCTGCTCATTTTGACTGTTCACTGTCCCAGACAACTCACCCACCGCACCTGCTATAAAATCAATTGGTATTCTTTCTTTGCTTTTCCCTTTCTTCTCTAAGCTTTGAACACGTGCCTTTTGACCTCTGAAGTCTGAAGTTTTTCCAGTTCCAGTGTTTGGAGCTTTGTCTGAGTTACACACGTCTTTCATACCTTTATTACTTTAGCATATGGATCATTGCGTCCTCCAGCAGCCACACCTAGAGTTGTGCGCCTGGCTTTGCCTGTGGCATCCATCTGCACTGAGGTGGGCCCATGGCAGAGGGCCCCATAGCTGGGGTCTCTGAGCCCTCAGCCCGTTACAGCACCCAGAAACGGAGTCCTTCCCCTATAAGCAGATCCAGAAGAGCTCCTCAAAGGACCTTTCCGAAGACGATATTCCTAAGTCCTTCACTTAAGAAAACAAGACATAACGTTCAAAAGGAAACTACTACTTGAAATCTTATCAAATACATGTATTACCTATTAAATTTTTTACCTATTAATTGAGGCCATGTATGTTTTAAAGTTATCGATCTTGCTGGTTACTCCAAATACCTAGGTATAGGCGTGCATTGCATTAAGTGAATCTTTAGAACAGTCCTGTGCTGGAGATCACCCTATCTTCAGTCATGGAGAATAGAAGATCGAACCTTAGAGTGGATTCAGTGTAGGACCCAGCATGATGGAATGGACCGTTATGATAAGCAGGTTGGCTTCATCTTCAGCAAAAAAGCCGAGCCCTTGTTTCCATGTGGTTGTAAATCTGTGTCCAAGGACTTCTTGGGCTTGAGGAGAATAAGGGAGAATTTTGTTGGGAGTAGGTTTATGCTAGTAGTTTGGGTGTTAGGGGTGAGCTGGTCCCCTGTGAGGGAACCCTCTCCCCTGGAGGTCCAGTCACTTTGCTGCAAACAATAGGCAGCTCTCATGCTTGCCCCAAATCCTGCATCAGTGGTTGACATTACTGACTTTCTAGGTGAACCCCACAGGGGCAGTGCCTTATTTTTACCATCATAGTTCCATGCTGGATTGAAAGGTCTCGTTATTTACAACAAAGGGCATAGAGTTTTAAAGCAATCTTCCCTATTTAATTTGCTATCAAACTCTAACCAAACAAAGGGGAAAAATCACCTACTTTGCAGCATGTGTCATAGGAAGGTAAAAGGTGGGAGTCTCCAGATTAATGACACTTGGGGTCATATTCATACGTACAGGGGAATCCTGGGGGGAGGGTACTGAGCTAAAAAGCTAACTTGCGAGGGTTTCTCTCTCTCTCGCTTCAGCACATCCTTGCGAGCTGTACTGCCGACCCATCGATGGCCAGTTTTCCGAGAAAATGCTGGATGCTGTCATTGATGGTACCCCTTGCTTTGAAGGCGGCAGCAGCAGAAATGTCTGTATTAATGGCATATGTAAGGTATTGGGTATGTTTCCTTAATCTACAACTTTACAAAATCATGCTTTTATTCATTCAGGAAGTCCGACGTGCAGACCCCTGCCTTTGTGGCGTTTGCATGCGGTCTGGGCTTTATTTGGTCGGTGAGGCAGGACTTCTCCATGGATGTCAGAGGCACGGTTGGAAATGGAATAATTTTCCTCCTGTTTTCTTTATTTCTTGATTTGTTGATGTGTTCTAGGATATTATTTTAGGCGTGGAACAGATTTACAATGAAGGAGAACCAAATTAAAGGAGGAATTGTTAGGAGAGGCAACCTAGATTATTTTAATCACATTAAACTGTTCATTGGTTTCTTGCCAACAGAATCATTACATTTTAGAAAAAAACTGGAATGGATAATAGTTTGTATAGTGTTTTTCACAATGCAGTTTTACATTGAATTCTCCACTGGTTACCGACATGCTCTTTTTAGGAAGAGAGACGGCACGGCAGGTAAACACCAGGTCTTCTGATTGCTATTCAACTTTTCCTCACGCTGCCTTTATATAAATTACTTAGACTTGATTTGTTCATGCTTTTATACGTACAACCATTGAAAAATCCCTTCCCATTGCTCACAGTATGTTTTGCAAGGAAGTAATGAACATGTTTTGTGATCCAACACCCCAGCATAAATCTCAGTTTAAAGAGAAGCTGTTTGCTAGTCAGTGAAAGAAAAACTACGCTGTAGAAATACCTAATTAACTGCTCGTTTCTCACTCAGGCTCCAGAAAGTGAACTCGTTACCATTATTTATTAACTGTATAACCCTATGCATCTTTCTATGGCTCAGTTTTCTTTTATAAAATTGAGATAATAATATATCTTTCCAATTGGAGTTGTCAAAAAGATTAAATAAGGTCATCAGTGTTAAGCCCGTAATAGAGCCCTGGAACACAATAAACTTTGCATTACATTTTATCGCTTTTGTAATTATTTATCATATTTTTTCCCGCTGGACCACATGGCCACTGTAAAAAGCTCCTGCCCGGACACGTGCAGCTCCCTGCAGAGGTGCGCTCACCGGCTTGGGGGTGCCTTTGACTCCTGCTCTGACCGAAGCACAGAGGTGCCGTGTCGGTTCCCAGGATGAGTGAGTGGACAGCCAGCCCGTCAGGCGCTCCATTCCAAAAAGCTCAGGTGGAATTCTCTTTCCGACTCAACAATTACCACGGTAGCTGCAGAGAGCCCAGAATAATATATTTTAGACTAATGTGTTCCCCAGAGTGGGAAAAGGTTGATTCAGCCAATGCAGGCCGGAGGAGCCCACCGCTTTCTAAAGCAGCGGCTCCCAGGCCTGGCTGCCTGTCGGAATTACCTGGACAGCCTTGCGAACTACTGCTGTCCGGCTCCATCTCAAAATTCAGAATCTCTGGAATTTGGGCTCCGGCCATTGATAGTTTAAAAACCCCCCAGCTGACTGCATTTGCAACTGGGCCTGGGAACTAGGTCACCGAGAAAAGAATGTGGTGCTGAAATGATCTTTTAGACCTAAATACGTTGTGTGCACAGAGGCAGCGTCTTGAGCGTGTGGTGGAAAACAGAGGCGTTTTGAACAAAATGCAAGGGGTTTGGGGTGCCTCTCTTGAAGCCCATTACATCGTTTACTAGAATGAGCCACGTTGTCCCAGCTTGCCTTTGTCTTTCTGGCAACTAGTTAAGGCCTTTTGGAAGGTGTAATTGTCCACTTTCTGTCTGTGCCGCACTGAGCTGCGTTTTTAAGCTGAAAAGTTATTCAAGTCAAGTTTCCCTTAAGAGCCTAAATATGATTTATCTTCCAAAGATCCAGGTTGTAGACATTTTCAGCTTTGTTAGTCTTACTCATTTACTAAAGTTTAAAAAAGAACAAAAAACAAAACGCAACAAATTGAACATGCATTGAAGTAAAAAGACACACCGTCAGAGAAAAAATACATGCAGTGCTTGTCAAATCTGTCTTCTTTGTGGATATGAACATAGGTTGGCTTATATTTATATAAATGTTTATTATATTTGCTTTTGTTCAGGTATTCCACTGTCTATTATGAAATTATATGTGCCCACCTTCTGGCATTTTCGATTTGCAGATTCTATTGTGAAGGGGATTTTCGAGGCTTGATGAAAACTGAATCTGTCCCAGGAGATTACTCTCCGTGCCCTCCCCAATTTTTGTTTTAACTTGGACTGAACTCCTAAGCTTATTTATCAAAATATAAATTTAAACCGGCTTTTCAGGATATCTCTCATTTTTAACCACAACTTTCCCAACTCTGCAGTCTTATCGACTGTCTTAGGACCGCCTGCCAGCTTCCCAGCCCTGTCACCCCTCTCCCCAGTGCTTTGACCTGCATTCCCGTTCCTCTTCCCGTGTCTCCGGTCAGCACGGCATTGGCCTTGGCTTCGGCTTTGTTTCCTCCCCGAAGGCCCGGCTGCCCTGCGTCGTCACGTCAGCTGTCCCCAGATGGCTCCTCGAGCCTCCCTTCGGTCCCACACCTCAGGACCCTGGTTCCGATCAACCAGCCCTTCCTCTGACCTTACTGTCAGCCTGCTGTGTGCTTCTTAAAATAAAATAGTCACCTTTGTGACTTTGTACCCTTACAAAATCACGATCTCCACTCGCCGCTGAGCCCTTAACTCTAATCCGACAACCTTTCTACCTGTTCTGAGCGGGTGTCTCGTTCCTTCAGGAGCCACCCTGCACCTCCCTGTTCTCTCACGAACAAACCCGGTTTTGACCACTCGGTGACATACTGAGCGCCCTAAATCAATGTCTGTGAGTCAGATCGCTCTCCGGAATCCCAGAAGGCCCTCAAGGTCCTGGCGAGCAAAGTGTTGCTGCTGCTGCACTTATTAAATGGCAGCATCGTTTACCTTTTCTCCTCAGTAAGCATGGATCTTCCCTAACTTACTTCCACGCTTCAAGCGTCGTTGGCTGGGAATCAGTCTCATTGTAGCGCCAGGCATTCTTCAGTGCCGCCTTTGCCAGGGGCCTCGGAAAGAAACGACGGCATTCCAGGTGAATCAGGTCACGGTGGCACTTGGTGTTTCAGTTCTCAGTGACTTGAGGATTTACAAGTAAAACAATGTTACAAGCTACAAGTGAGAATTAGTAAGAATATCTTTTGGTTATTCGCTCAGGTAGGCTAAAGGCCTGGTGAAGACTGGGAGCTGGTTTCTCTAGTACTCAAGTACTCTTCAGTCCAAACGACAGGGCCAAGAATTGATTATGTTCTTCTGCCCAGGAAAGGAAATAGTCATCAGAATAAAAGGCAACCTACAGAATGGGGAGAAATATTTGCAAATCATATATATATAATTAATACACAAATGTATAAGAAACCCCAACAACTCCATAGCAGAAAAACAAATAACCTGGTTAAAAAATAAGCAAAGGGCCCAGCTGATGTTGCTCAGTGGTTGAGCGTCGACCCCTGCACCCAGAGGTTGCCGGTTCGATTCTCATCAGGGCACATGCCCAGGTTGTGGGCCAAATCCCCAGTGGGGGGCATAGAGGAGGCGGCCAGTCAATGTTCTCTCTCATCAATGTTTCTATCTCTCTCTCCCTCTTCCTTCCTCTCTCTCTGAAATCAATTTAAAAAAAATTTTTTTAAATGAACAAAGGACTTAAGTAGACATTTCTCCAAAGAAGATATACAAATAGCCAACAGGTATATGAAAAGGTGCTCAACATCATTAAACATCAGAGAAATACAAATCACATCCACAGTAAGATATAACCTTACACCTGCTAGGATGGATGTTATAAAATAAAATAAAGCCAAAGGATACAATGTAGGTAAGGATGTGGAGAAATCGGAACCCTTGTATATTATTGTTGGTGGGCATGTACAATGGCGCAGCCTCTGTGGAAAACAGTATAGAGGTTCCTTAAAAAATTTAAAAAGAGAACTACTCTATGACCCCGGAATCCCACTTCTGTGTATATATCCAAGAGAACTGAAATCAGGATCTTGAGGAGATATCTGTACATTCTTACAATAGCCAAGGTACAGGAACAACCCAGATGTCCATCAACAGATGAATGGATCAGGAACATGTGGTGTCTACACACCATGGAATAGTATTCAGTCTAAGAAAAGAAGGAAATCTGCCATTTGTGACAACATGAATGAGCCCTTAGGACTTTATGCTAAGAGAAACAAGCTAGCCACAGAAGGACAAATGCTACATGTTTCCACTGAAATGTGAATCTAAGATAGTTAAACTGATAGAAGTGGAGAATAGAATGGTGGTTGCCAAGGGCCGAGGATAGGGAGCAATGGAGAGTTGCTGTTCATTGGGTCCAAAGTTTGATATGTAAGATGAATACGTCCTAGATACCTGCTGTATACTGTAGTGCCCGAGGTTAACAATGCTGGATTGAACATATAAACATTCGTTAAGAGGGCACATCTCACGTTCAGTGTTCTTGCCACACACACACACACACACACACACACAAGACACAGGGAAATTTGGAGGTGATGAATATGTCTATGACCTTGATTGTGGTGATGGTTTCACAAGTGTTTATTTAAGGGCCGAATCATCAAATTGTATGCATTAAGTGCAAGCAGTATTTTGTATATCAGCTACACTCAATACAACTGTTTTTTAAAAACAAAAAATGATAATATGATGGGAAAGTAAAGTGATTTTTTTTTCTTCTTCTTCTTCAAAAATGCTGCCCGTGGGGTGGCTGCCTGGCATCCACAGTCACATCAGGGAGGGGCCAGGCTGCAGCCACGGTCCACGGTTGGTGGCAGCAGCAGACTCAGCCCTGATTCCGCCGGAGGCCGAGAGCCAGTGCCGTGTGGGCCTTGCTGCCGGGCGGAGGGCGTGAAGGAGGAGAGGGTGTCTTCTCCTTTCCCCGAGGATCCGTATGTCCCGCGTACAAGGAGGTTGGCGGAAACCTTCACTGGCCTCCTGCTATGTACTCAATCCAGTGTTGGTTATAGTGTGTGCAGCTGATGGGAGAAGCAAATGGGGTGAAGTCGCCGCGAGAACCCACTTACTGTGCTGGGGACGCGTGTCTCCTGCCCCAGCCCCTGCCCCAGGGTGCCTGTAACTGCTGCTAGGGAAGAGAGAGGGGCTTGAGGGTTAGGGTTTCTGGCCTTCTCTCCTTTATGGTTCACACTGTTAAAGACATATCCCCTTTTGGTAGAGATTCTAAAAAAAAAACAAAAAACAAAAAAAAAGCCACTTGAAAATTAATGTCTCAGAGTAAGTTTCCCTGGCTTGTTCCAAATCACTGGAGGAAAGACCCCTGGGAAGGTCATTCGTGAGGTCAGTTCATCAGAGCGTGGCCCAGCTTGATGAAAACTCACGTGGGAAGGTTTGGCATTTCACCCAACGGCTGAAGGCTTCACACCCAAACGGTTTCTGTTCTTTCCGTGTGATTAGCGTGATTAAGGTTTGTGATCTCCTAGCACTTTGTGTCTGTGGACTGAAAGGAACTTGGAGGTGGTCAAGGGATGGAGCTATTTCTGTCAGTGGGCATCAGTCCTGTTTAGCTGGTAGAGGGAGGGTGTAATTGAACAACCCAGACTGTTCCTCCTTTCAGGCAATTTGAGGTGGCTTTAAAATAAGAAAGGGACTTACCTTTGGGAGAAAAAAAACTACTGGGCACAATTCTTCTTTGCAAACAGAAAAGAAAAATCTGAGCACTGGAATATGGTATAGTTTTCCCTCCTTCTGTTGCCACGGACATGTGGTTAGGAGCCCAGGCCATGGAAGACAGCGGGCAACAGACACGTTCAGCTGGAGCCCCCAGGTCCCATGACCTTCAGGCTCAGTGTCATGGTTGATTGTACCTGATGCTGATGAACACGGATGCTCTCCCTCCAGAGTGGCAATTTCTGGATGGGAGAGACTTGGCCACACTGATGGGCTGAGCAGAAGGAATCTGTGGAGATGAAACTGATGACTCAGGAGGACCAATAGATAGAACACCGAGAAGGGATTTGGTCCAGCTCACGGGCAAGATTAATGTTGGCTCAGAGGAGAAATGGCCAGTTCTTCCTCTGCGGCTGGAGGGGACGAGGTCAGGATGGCTGGGATATGGCTAAGTGTGAAGGGCAGTGGGGGCTGGGATCTCCGAGGATCTGCAGGTCAGAGATGTCATCCCTTGTGGACTGGAGCGGTCTCAGCATTAAGCTAGCCTTTCTCTGATGGCTGCTGGTTCACCTGCTATCCTCAGACAGGAGCTGGGGAGAACACCCCAGTGAGCATGGGAAGTTCTCGGTGGAGTAATGCGTCACCCTGGGAAGTCCCATGGAGAGGAGGGGCATGAGGTCTGCATGTCTGTAAGAGGGGGACCTACTGCTCCACCAACTTCAGTTCCAAGGCATGTTCAAGGTTAAGCTTTTGGAACTGTGTTCGATTCTGCCTCTGACTCCAGGGAGACCCAGCCAGTGTGCCCCTGTCTCTAAGCAAGTATTTCCTTTACCTTTGGTGGACGCTTTGGTGTTTCTCTGCTGCACCAGGAAAAGAAGACGTGTGTGCCCTTTTGTATGTGCCCCAATCTCACTGAGAGCAAAGAGGGGAAGGGGAAGTTCGAGGTCCCAAGCAGTGTGACATCTCCTGCCTGTGTCTTTCCTCTCCAACCTCTTTTCCTGCAGAGGGTTGGCTGTGACTACGAGATCGACTCCAACGCCACCGAGGACCGCTGCGGGGTGTGCCTGGGGAACGGCTCTGCCTGCCAGACCGTGAGGAAGATGTTCAAGCAGAAGGAAGGATCTGGTAACAGACTAACACACAACTGAAGTGGCAGGGGACGGAGCACGGAGGGCAGGCCTGATGGCTGGGTGGTTGTCTCTCAGCAGATTGTGATTGTCAAAGAATTCAAAATGGGGAAGGTGGAAGAAAAGTGATTTTACTGACTGAATACGTTCATCATTCTCACCTGCGGATATTTTTCCATTGATTTTTTGTTTTTGTAGATAAAGTGGGAGGGAGAAAGAAAGTGAAACATTGATGTGTTATTAGAGAGACACATCTATTGGTTGCCTCCTGCACAACCCCAACCAGGCCCAAGGATCAAACCTGCAACTGAAGTACGTGCCCTTGACCAGGAATTGAACCTGCAACTCTTTGGTCCATAGGTTGATACTCCAACCACTGGGACAAATTGACTAAGGTTACTCATCATTCTTAATGCTTTGGAGATAGTCTTATCAACCCTGAAAACCTTCCCTTGAAATTGAATAAATGTTTCAATAACCCTTCATTCTTGCAACTTTTTAATATATACATATTAAATATATATAATTAATTTATTTAATATATATATGTTCTTTATTGATTTTAGAGAGAGAGAGGGAGAGAGAGAGATAGAAACATTGATGACAGAGAACATTGACTGGTCGCCTCCTGCACAAACCCCACTGGAGATGGGGCTGAGCCTGGGCATGTGCCCTGACTGAGAATCAAACTGGTGACCTCTTGGGGCATGGGTCAACACTCAGCCACTGAGCCACACCCACCAGGCCACTCCTGCAATTTTTTAATATGATCCTCATTTCTGTAAAGAAGGTCCATGAGGATGAGACACACCAGAGGATTTGTTTTTCATCTCTTTTCTACCAACCACATTTCCCCATTAAAACACTAGAGTGAGGGTTAGTAATCCCTGGTTATAGGTATATGTAATCTCAGCCTAGCTGTGCAATGTGGCACAGATTTCTTCTCTTGGGAACTCAGTTTCCTCATTTTGTAGATAAAGAGGTTGGTAGCCATTCCCTTTCATCTAAATATCTATTAAAAGGGGATTGGTTAAATAAATGGCATTATGTCATTGTACAGCTGTTGAAATGCTCAAAATATATGAAAAGACATTCAACTTAAAAGGCATTACTTAGACTATGAGGTATCACCTCACACCTGTCAGAATGGCTGCCATCAACAAATCATCAAACAACAAGTGTTGGCAAGGGTGTGGAGAAAAGGAGACTCTAGTACACTGCTGGTGGGAATGCAGACTGGTGCAGCCACTGTGGAAAACAATATAGTGCTACCTCAAAAAATTGAAAATTGAACTTCTATTTGACCCAGTGATCCCACTGCTGGGAATATACCCTAAGAAGCCTGAAACACCAATCAGAAAGAATATATGTACCCCCATGTTTGTAGCAGCACTATTTACAATAGCTAAGATCTGGAAAGAGCCCAAATGCCCATCAATATTGAGTGGATAAAAAAGCGGTGGTACATATACACAATGGAACACTATGCAGCTGTAAGAAAGAAAGGTCTCTTACCCTTTGAAATGACATGGTGGGACCTGGAGAATATTATGAGGAGCAAAATAAGCCAATCAGAGAAAGACAAGCATCACATAATCTCACTTATTTGTGGACTATAATGAACAAAATAAACTGTCGAAAAAAATAGATCCAGAGACAAGAAAGTAGGAAACAAACTGACAAACCTCAGAGGGAAGGGGGGCAGGGGGCAGGAAGAGATAAACCAGAGAACTTATATGCAGATGTGTATAACCCATGGACACAGACAATAGTGTGATGAAGGCGGGGTGGGAGTCAATGGGGGACAAAAAGGAGCGACATCTGTAATACTTTCAACAATAATGGAAAAAAGGCAAGAGTTGGTGCCTTGGCTGGGTGGTTCAGTCGGTTAGAGCATTATCCTGTACACCAAGAGGTGTGGGCTCAATTCCCGGTCGGGGCACATGCCTAGGTTGTGGATTCGATCCCTGGACAGGGCAGGTATGAAAGGCAACCAATCGATGTTTCTTTCTCACATTGATGTTTCTTTCTCATTCTCTCTCTCTCCCTTCCTCTCTCTCTAAAAATCAATAAAAACATATTATTGGGTGAAGATTTTTTTTTAAGGCAATAATAGTTCATATAGTGTGATCCCACTGGTTTAAAAAAGTATGTGCAGCCCTGGCCTGTTTGGCTCAGTGGTTGAGTGTCGGCCTGTGGACCAGAGAGGTCCGGGTTCGGTTCCCGCTAGGGGCACGTACCACAAAAAAATAAAAAATAAAAAAATAAAAAATAAATAAAAAAGTATGTGCAGGTGTAGAAAATTTTGTAAGCAAGCCCAATCAACTACTAAGTATAATTGTCTTTGATACAGAGGATGGGGGTGGAGGGGAATGGACACTTGACTCTTCGTTGTACTCCTCTCTCTGAGATGGTGGGCTTTTTTGTCATGTGCAGAGGGGTCCAATGGATGTTTTATTATGGTTCTTTTTAACTCCATATCACTATAATTTTATCCTCTGGCTTTCTCCTGGGTATTCTTTTGTAAATAAATATATATATATATATACATACACACACACACACATCTATTACATATATTACTTTTGCTCATGGCTAAATCTGCTTCAGTTTACGTCTTCTGTCTACAAACTGTCTTCAGAATTAGCACTTCTATCACAGAAAGCTTTTATTTAAAAATTTAAAGTATCTCCCTTTCAACTGGGCAGAATCTGCTCATGATAAATACTTACAACCTTGGATTTTCTCTCTTAAATGGAAAATCAAAAGCAAACATTTTTGGTGTTTTTTTTTTTTTTTTTTTCATCTAATTACTTTTCTTTTTTTTTTGTTTGTTGTTTGTTTGCTTTCAAACAAGGGATGAGGTGGTAGCCAGTTGGTTTTCCTGCAGGGGAAGCCATGCAACATTCTAAGTCAGAGAACAGCTGCAGGTAGCAATACTCCAAGGTATTTTACAAAATTACAGTAGCCTCAGTTGTGTGTGACAAATACGTTCACTGAGTAGCGGTAAATTGGTAGTTTCTCCTGCCACCTCAGCGAAGTGTGTGAGGGCCGAATAGAGCTGCTACGAGGCTCACGTTTTGTTTCCTCAGGATCGGAGCTGCCAAGTTTGAAAAGCAGGACTGAGGCTGTGGCCTGTACCCAGCTTCTACGCAGGTCATTCCTGCAGCTGAGCCGCGTGTGAGCTGCCGGGACCCCAGGTCCTCTGCAGCTGAGTGAGAGGGAGCAGTCAGGGCACAGAGACAAGCGCTTGCTTGTCAGGCTGAAAACCCTAGTGTGTATTCCGTGGAAAACGACCAGGATGATCAAGCTCTCACCCCATGTTTTTATAGAAAGGTTGAAGGACTAAAGGATGTTTAGTTTCGAAAAGGGCAAAATAATGGCATCCTGGAGCTGGGGAGGACGGCAGACCTCATCTCATTCAAGCCCCTTCACTGAAAGATGTTAAGTAAGTCGACGAACGTCCTAGAGCGTGTCCGTGGGGATGAAGAAACGGGAACTCGAGAGTTCTGACCCCCGGCCTCACTGCACCTTTCGCAGAGCCGTCCCCAAAGCCCATGTTCCTTCCTTTATATCGTGTTTGTGAGCGATGGTTCCTAAGAAGCACGAGTAGGGAGAACACATGACCATAGAGTCTGGCAAAGAGAGGGAACATTGGTGTCAGCCTTCCCCCCCATGGTGACCAGTGAGCTAGGAGGCTGGCAGGGAGGGTCCTCGTCATCAAACGGGTGTTCTCTGTGCTTTCGTACAGGCTGGATTGGAACATGAGAGAAATATGTAAGTTCGTATTTCAGCAAAACCTAAGAAAAAATAAGAAGAAAATGCTTCCTAATGACTCGAAGTGTCCAGCAATATAAAAAGCTGTGCTCAGAGTGGACTCTGTATTCAAGAGCACCAAGGTGGCGATCAAGCCCAGACTCGCTGCGGGATTCTCATAAGGAATTGAAGCTCTGATGAAACTGCTTCTAAGGATCTGTCTTTAATGTGCAGGCAATGAGGACGAGCAGAAGGAGTGTCCAGTGTGATGTTTAGGAAGATGGATCAGGCGGCAGCAACAAATGGGGGAGCAGAGGTGCTATTGGGACGTTGGCTAGGGGATGTACAATTCTGAGGCATCAACTAAAATCACAGAAAAATAAACCCTGGATCAACCATAAAAGCTTCAGAGTACAATCTGCATGTATGTCACCTCTCCTCACAAAACTGTTTATGTACCGAGTCACACAGCTCCTGAGAATTCTGCCTGTGGTCAGGCTCTTTCAAGTTCCCATACTTAGGATATCTACCAATCCCGGGGACCACCCTGGAGGAGGGCAGGGGACTAAATGATGAGGATGAGCAGTGGGTCCGACATTATGCTCAGCTAAGCTAGCACGACTCTTTCATTCACTGTGCCTGTTCTCCTTAGGTTATGTTGACATCGGACTGATTCCGAAAGGAGCAAGGGACATACGGGTGATGGAGGTGGAGGGAGCTGGAAACTTTCTGGCCATCAGGAGTGAAGACCCTAAAAAATATTACCTCAATGGAGGATTTATTATCCAGTGGAAAGGGAACTACAAGCTGGCAGGGACCGTCTTTCAATACGACAGGAAAGGAGACCAGGAGAAACTGATGGCCACAGGTCCCACCAACGAGTCCGTGTGGATCCAGGTAATGCGGAAAGGAGACGGCTGAGGTGCACATCAGTTAGGATTTTTCTAATGTTCTTTTCCAACATATTTACTAGGAGACATGAATTAAGGATCTTTAAAATGTTTTTAGCAAGGAATGGGGAAGAAAGCAAGATACCAGTTTGTGCTGCTAATCCCTGATGGCCTAGAAATGGCTGAAACCCCCATCATAAAATGCCAGGGCCCTAACCATCCATTTGGGAGGTTTGCGTTCAGATTTCAGTGTGGTTGACACAGGCTGTTTATTTGACGGTGACTGTTCATTGGGTAGGAAAAGGATGCTGTCAGTCTCTGGCACGAGTTTCCCAGTAGCCCTCCAGCAGTGGTGATGGACTGACATGGTTCTTCCACAGGTTGTCAGGTGGTTGTGCTCAGGCAAAAGGCTTCACCTGGGGAAACTCTTAGGGGAGAGAGGGGTTGAGTGTAGGGTGTGTTCTTCAAAGTCATGAGTGATTTGTCTTTGGTATTGGCAAAGAGCACAGAAAAGGAGTGGAATAATTATACCAGTGGAGACCAGGAAGGTTGGGGGTGACAGATGGCCCAAGAGAGAGTCAGATCAAACCATATCAGAAGTGAGAGAGAAGTCATTGCAGAGCCAGACATCGGAACACTCACGGAAGCTGGAGGTCAAGGCTTGACAGCTACGTTTAATAAATGTTAGGAAACCTGACATCTGACCTGTCCACATGGGAAAAGATTTACAAATGGGAACCCCCAACCCATGGGGCAACCAATCCACCACCTCCAAGTTTAAGACGAATTCACTTTAAACGTGTTGTAGGTTGATTACCTGCAGGACAGGGAAGCGAGGGGACAGTCCCAAGAGTGGTTTGCTTTGGCTAAAACCGATGACAGTTTTTATCCCAGGACCATATGCTTTAAAAGAACTAAGCGGCCTGAGAGAGAAGGGCGGCCATCGTAAGGCAACAACAATGCCAGTTAGTGTTTACTGACTGCTGCTACCTGGCTGCTGCTGTTCTATCATGTCGAATCATGTTACATTTATGTATTTGTTGCACTCTCACAACAACCCTATCAGTAGTGCTATTGTTTTCCTCAGTTTACAAGTGGGGGAGCTAAGACACAAAGAGACTCGGTAAATCACCCACAACGAGAAAATTAGTAAGTACCCAGAACAGGCGACCTGCCAGCTGTGATGGGAAAGAACCGTCCCCGCCCTCCCCTCAGAGCAGGTCCCTGTGACCAGACCCTCCTGCTTCCGTGAGCTGGAATTCCCACAGCACTCCAGCCAGGAAACAATGGAGTGGAGGAGGTCGAAGTAGATCGAGGTGGCCGTGGATGTACAGGTGGAAGCAGCGTAGAGGGATATTCCTTTAGGTACTTGTTCCAGGGCAAGCTCCCATGACTCCTTGAAGATGAGGGACATTGGTTGGATTTGACAGGACTGTGGTTTTCGGGGTAAAGTCATGACACTTTGGCGTGACCCCTCTCTTGCCTCCCAGCTCATATTCCAGGTGACTAACCCTGGCATCAAGTACGAGTACACGATCCGCAAAGACGGCCTTGGCAGTGACGGGGAGAAGCTGTTGTACTTCTGGCAGTACGGCCGCTGGACCGAGTGCAGTGCCACGTGTGGCACAGGTGAGAAGCAGGGGTCCCACTGGAAGCCACGGCAGCCCCGGGATGGGCCGTGGAGGCCACGGAAGCCGGTGGTTTGCCTTCTGTGTCCGTGGGTCTGCCGGGCTCCACAAAGACGGCCCTGGGGACCCTGTGGGGGTCAATGTGCAGGTCACGGTCCCCATGGAGAGGCAGTTGTTCTTTCTTCAGCTTTGTAGGCTGGCCTATGTGAAGGTTTAGTTTTTAAGAAAGGGTTGCATATCATTTCTTATTTTTTATTTCTTTACAGAGAGAGGAAGGGAGAGGGAGAGAGAGAGAGAAACATCAATGAGAGAGAATATCAACTGGCCGCCTCCAGCACACCCCCCACTGGGGATCTGGTCCATAACCTGGGCATGTACCCTGACCAGGAATTGAACCAACGACCTCTTGGTACATGGGTCGACACTCAACCGCTGAGTCACACTGACTGGGCAAGGGCTACATATCTTTTAAAGCAAGACAGAAAAACTTAAAACAACCACTGCTCTGGTGGAGGACGTGAGGACCACAAAAGTCAAGCAACCTACCCAAAGACATTCTACACATCATGGCCAAATCCCCTAGAGTTTAATTTCTAACCCAAATTGACCAAGTTTTTAGATCTACTCGGAGAGTAGCTTTCTCTGACAAAATCCAGCATTGGAGAGGTTCCTTGCTGTCAGGTCTTAGGATGGGGTAGGTTTTGCTACAGTAACAAAGAAATTGAAATCTGCCCTGGACAATTTGCTCAGTGGTTAGAGCATCGGCCAGCAGACCAATGAGCCGTGGGTTTGATTCTGACCAAGGGCATGTACCTTAGTTGCGGTTCATCCCTGGCCCTGGTTGAGGTCGTGCTGGAGGCAACCAGTTGATGTGTCCCTCTCACATCAATGTTTCTCTCTCTCTCCCTCTCTTCTCCTCTCTTCTTCCCACTCTATCTGAACAAAAATGGAAAAGTATTCACAAGTGAGGATTTAAAAAATTTTTTAAAAAAGAAATTGAAATTTTAGGAATTCAACACAATGAAGGTTTATTTTCAACCCATTCCAAGTGGACGCAGGGTGAGTGGCCCTACTTACTCTGAAATCCGTGGTTTCCAGCTTGCCCACGGGGGAAGAGAGACGTGGAAGAGGCAGACTGCCTCCTGTCAATGGCCTGGCCTAGAAGGAACACAGGTCACGTCTGCTCGAATTCCACTGTGGGCTTCGTCCCGTGGGCACCATCTGACCCACGGCAAGGCTGGGAGCCCGAGGGAGTGCTGTAGGGCCTCGCGAACTTGCCAGGGCCCAGGAGGGCAGGGTTCAGGGCCCTTCAGGCACTGGGAGGCTCCAACAGTAGCTCCCTGTGAGAAAGCCTGCGCCTCTCTCTGTCCTTTCGGGTCCTGCCGGAGTGTTCTGGAATTTCCTGCCTCCAGCCCGTAAGGTCCGCCTGCAAGGCTAGGGCAGCCACAGGGTGAAGAGCCAGAAGTGGGGTCCAGCAAACGGAAGACAGAGAAGGAGCACAGCCCACCCGCAGGCTCCTGTCCCACAGGCTCTGTCCCCTCCGGGTCCCCCTCCTGCACCCCAGGGGGTAACTGTGGAAAGAGGCGGCTAGGCAGACAGTGAGTCATGTACCATTGGCTGTGTAAACAATTTTTGTATTGCCGACTTCCTGTTCTTCCTTCAGTGCAGAAAACCAAGGATTAACTTTCAGAAATCACAGGAGTCATAGGTTCATTTCAAAATACGTGAGGTTTTACAAATTCTACAACTCAGAAAACCCGTGCAGGCCCAAGGTGCCATCTGTGGCGGCCGCCACGAGGGGCATCAGTGGGCGTCAGTCCTGCTCGTCCCGCCACCGCTTCTACATTTCACGCCCTGTCCCTCCAGCCCCCCCGGCCCTGGGCTCAGGGAAGGAGCAAAACAATACGTAGAAAGTCGGTAAAACATATTTTCCCAAGGAGCAGTTGTGAGGAAAATGAAGTTTTCGGAACTAGAGTCACAAATACTTGTTTGATTCTCATCCCTTTTGTTCTGTTCTTTCAGTGAAGTTCAGGTTTAAACTTTAGGCTTCAATCATTGTCCAAAGACACAAAAGAGTGAACCTCAGACAGTCCCGACTGGGCAGGGACTCCTCAATAAACCAGGAGAACATCCACACCCACCCCCTTCTATTTCAACATGGAACGAAACCTTTGTTTATACATGTATATTTCAGAGTATGGGAAATAAAAGATAAATGGCTGATTCATGCAGTAATCCTAAAGATACAACCCCAGTTAGCTAGGACATGAGACTTCCTTACTATATATGAATCAACCATTATGGTTTTTTTAAAATTTATTTTTGTTACAGATGTTTCTCCTTTTTAACCCAATTGACACCCTCCTCCCCATCCCCCCCACCCCGTCCCCAGCTTTGTTGTCCATGTCCATTGGTTATGCATACATGCATATAAGTTATGTGGTTTATCTCTTCCCACCCCCCCACCCCCTCTTCTGAGTGTTGTCAGTCTGTACCCTACTTCCTCATCTCTGGGTCTACCCTGTTCCTCAGACTGTTATGTTCATTATATTCCACAAATAAGTGAGATCATGTGATATTTGTCTTTCTCTGTTTGGCTTGTTTCGCTTAGGATAATACTCTCCAGGTCCCTCCATGTCATCTCAAAAGATAAGAGATCTTTCTTACAACTGCATAGTACTCCATTGTGTATATGTACCACAGCTTTTTTATCTACTCATCTATTGATGGACACTTGGGCTGTTTCCAGATCTTAGCTATTGTAAATAGTGCTGCTATGAACATGGGGGTACATATATTCTTTCTGATTGGTGTTTCAGGCTTCTTAGGGTATATTCCTAGAAGTGGGATCACTGGATCAAATGGCAGTTCAATTTTTAATTTTTTGAGGAAACACCCTATTGTTTTCCATAGTGGCTGCACCAGTCTGCATTCCCACCAGCAGTGTACTAGAGTCCCCTTTTCTCCACACCCTCGCCAACACTTGTTGTTTGATTATTTGTTTATGGCAGCTATTCTGACAGGTGTGAGGTGATACCTCATAGTTGTTTTAATTTGCATCTCTCTAATGATTAGTGACTGTGAGCATTTTCTTATATGTCTCTTGGCCATTTGTATGTCCTGTTTGGAGAGGTGTCTATTTAGGTCCTCTGCCCATTTTTTAATTGGTTTCTGCCTTCCTTTTGTTGAGTTGTATGAGCACTCTATATATTTTGGAAATTAGCCCCTCATCTGATGTATCATTGGCAATGATGCTCTCCTATATAGTACGTTCCCTTTCCATTTTGATGGTTGTTTCTTTTGCTGTGCAGAAGCTTTTGAGTTTGATGTAGTCCCATGTGTTCATTGTTTCCTTTGTTTCTCTTGCCTTAGGTGTTGTATCAGTGAAAATTCTGCTGCGTGTGATGTCTGAAATTTTGTTGCCTGCATTTTATTCCAGGTTTTTATGGAGTCATTGGTCACATTTAAGTTTTTTATCCATTTAGAGTTTATTCTTGTGTATGGTGTAAGTTGGTGGTCTAGTTTCTTTTCTTTTTTTTTTTGCATGTAGCTGTTCAATTTTCCCAACACCATTTATTAAAGAGGCTGTCTTTACTCCACTGTATGCTCTTGCCACCTTTGTCAAATATTAATTGAGCATATTCCCTTGGGTCCATTTCTGGGTTCTCCGTTCTGTTCCACTGGTCTATATGCCTGTTCTTGTGCCAGTACCAGGCTGTTTTGATTATTGTGGCTTTGTAGTATAACATGAAATCTGATAATGTGATCCCTCCTACTTTGTTCTTCTTTTTCAAGATTGCTGTGGCTATTCAAGGTCTTTTTTGGTTCTATATGAGCTTTTGAAGTATTTGTTCTAGTTCTATGAAGTATGTCATTGGTATTTTGATGGGGATTGCATTGAAGCTATAGATTGCTTTGGGTAGTATGGACATTTTAACAATGTTAATTCTTCCAATCCATGAACAAGTTATGTGCTTCCACTTTTTTATATCTTCCTCTGTATCTTTTTTCAATTATCTTTGTTCTAGATCATAAATCCATGTTAAAAACTGGCAACACAGCCCTAGCTGGTTTGGCCCAGCTGTTGGAACATTGGCCTGCAGACCAGAGTCCCGGGCTCGGTTCCCACTAGGGGCATGTACAAAAAAAAACACCCAAAAAACAAAAAAACTGGCAACACAATAATGTAAATTTAGCTCAATGTCATAATTCTAGTTTATTTCCCACAACCCACTTGTCAAAGGTCAAGGGGACCCTCGGAGTAGACGTCCTCTCTCTGTGCTCTCCGTTCTTCTGTCTCCTTGGCCACATTTGCTTTCCTTCCTGCCTTGCCCGGTGGCATGCCTTTGGGGTGACTCTGGGGGAATGTAGGACTAGCTGTCCTTCAGGAAAGTTGAAAGGGGATGGAATAACAAGTGCTACCACCGACGATGAAAGTCTCGTTGAGAAAATTCTCCTGAGTTGCCCATCAAAAGATCAACCATTTGCCCTGGACGGTTTGTCTCAGCAGTTAGAGCGTCGGCCTGCGGTTCACAGAGACCCGGGTTCGGTTCCCGCTAAGGGCACGTACCTCGGTTGCAGTTTGTCCCTGGCCCTGGTTGGGTCGTGTGGGTGGCAGCCACTCAATGTGTCCCTTTCACATTGCTGTTTCTCTCTCTCTCTCTCTGTTCCTCTCTCTCCCTCCCTCCCACTCTATCTGAACAAAATATTGAAAAATGTCCTCAGGTGAGGGTAAAAAACAAAAAGATCAACCATTATCTGATTGATCTTTTTGTTTTTTATCCTCTCCTGAAATGCTCATCATCTCTAATCATCAGAGAGATGCAAATTAAAACAACAATGAGATATCACCTCACACCTGTCAGAATGGCCGCCATCAACAAATCATCAAACAACAAGTGTCGGCGAGGGTGTGGAGAAAAGGGGACTCTAGTACACTGCTGGTGGGAATGCAGACTGGTGCAGCCAGTATGGAAAACAATATGTGTTACCTCAAAAAAT